ATTCATTCGACATATATAAATACTCATTCGTTTCTCTCATAATTAAAATTAAATACAGATATTCGTAGCTCATATTTGAATTATTAATACGTATATGTGTAATATTCTATCAATTAATAAAGTTCCAAATAAATGTAAAATACTCGTGATAATTCCACAATAACACTTAATAATATTAATAATATTAATTCTAATAGTTTACACTTTTTCAGTTTTACTAAAAACGCACAAAACGTTAAAAATCTTATGCTCCTAATTCTCCGGGATTCAAGAAAATTTCGAACAATTCGCGCAATTTTGTAGGGTTCCTTCTTTTTCGAAATCTGCCTAATTGGAATATTTTACTTTTCTATTAGACCCTCGCAAGCTTTTTATCCGTGTCCTCCGCCGAACGCGGACGAAGAGCAGCAGGATTTCGATCCCTTCGATTACATTAACACGATTGTAAGCGATTTCCCTGATTAATTCGTTCGATGCATCGTGATGAAGTTTCTTATGCATGCGCAGAGGAGAAGAGAGGCGAGTTCTTTCGCTTTCGTGTAAGAGCATTGATGGAATCTTCCTTGACGATTTAAGTTCGCCGATCGCAATGCATTCGTCGTTTCGCACAGTGAATGAATGAAAATTTTAATTTTTATGTTAGATATTTTTTTTCATCAACATAATATATATTTCTTATGCTCTCATATATGTAGAATAAGCTTCTATCGATTATTCTCTCCCGTCTGATTCGAAATTGGCCAAATTTAACTACAAATTTGACAAATTTCCAAATTCAATTCTCTTGAGAGCGAAACTTTAAATGAGCAAATTTTATCCTTTCTTTCCGATTTATTTTTACACGTGAAATCACCACTCGGTTGTTCCTTGATTAGAGGGGCACTTTGTATGTATGCTAGTAAGCATTCATGGCTCTTCTTAGCTTTTTCAACGTTCTTTGATCGTGATATACGCTGTCACTGCTTCGCTTTGTGAGAAAAGAAATTCGACAAAAGTGTCAAATGCGATGCCATTGAACCAGTGCCGAATAGATTTATAATTAAACCGTGAATCCCAGACGAATCCCAGACGATTTTAACTGTATCACGGATCGTTAGCCAATACTTTCTATTTTATCATTCGTTTGTTTCATTTTGCCAACATTGTAATTATTTCCACAATTTCCGTGAATTGCTATTCACGTTTCAACAAAATTTTCTTAGTAAACTGATTCTTAATGAAAGTTTAATTGTTAATTATTGATATCGAAAGATAATTTAAAGATAATTTTTAATTTTCAAGTCAATTTAATGTCACTCCTTTCAATTAAAATTAAAATACTAATTATCAATAATTTTACAATTACGTTATGATATAGTTCTAACCACTATTTTCATATTAGGACTATCAAAGCAGACAAAATAAGCGACTCGTAATTTTGTCACGTTTCCACCTTTAGAAAGAAGAAATTTCTGAAATTTGGAAAGTTCCCAAAATATGAAAATAGGAACTTTCTTCTATTCCTCCACGTTTTAATTTCTCTTGGAAAAGTTTTCTATTTCGATCATTGGTGGTTGTTAAGAAAACATATATAAATACATGCATATTTCGTTAATACTTTATCGAAACTTGTATTGCAAAATCTTTTCCAGTTTTCTTTCATCTTAATTTCCTCCAAGTCAGAAGCTTCAGTCATCGACAGTTCCACCGTTTCAGGTCTTTTTTTTTTCGCGAATTTTTACGGTAGCGTGGACGTTAGAGCGACCTTTGAACAGTTGCCAAGTGGGCAAGAGGCTACATTTTAAATAAACGTTTCGTGAGAGCAGTTTGCAATAACAGGTCACGATCCCTGTCAGCTCTGTCGGCGTCGATGTTACACGAAGCACAGTCTCTTTCTCTCTCTTAAACGAACGAATCATCCCTAACAGCAGAGTTCCTCGTTCGCAATGCTTGACTCGCGCGGCGCGACGTCGTCGTCTCACGTGACAAATTTTTGACAAATTCGTCGCACGACATGTGAAACAGGTTTCACAAATGTCAATGAAATGTCAGATTCGCGGGAGTCGGTGGCGCGTACACGCGGCCCGACCTTGACACGAAATCTACATCAACCGCAACTTCATCGAGCGCACCTCCGCGAAATTAGATACGCGAAGATAATAATATTCGGGTTATCCTTTTTTGTCGTCGCTGTGAAGGCTGCGGAAGATGTTCGTAAAATTGTTAGATATTGTTCATAGTTCATTTCCTTTCTTCTATTGCTTTAGAGGCTTAGAAAAGGAGGTTTGTTCGCCTTTTTTTTTAGAGTTTCTTCTCTCAAAATTTTGGAAAGTCTCCCGAGCTATCGAAAAAGATGTGTTGAATTAGGCTCAATTTTTCTGTCAAAAATTATATTGGGTTTGGTTTGTTGGAGATCGTAGAAAATCTTCGAAATTATTAAGTTGTTCATTGTTCTTTCCGTGTCATTTGTAGGAGAATTCATTGTGTAATACGCAGTTAAAGAATAATGAAGCTGGAGGTTCTTTTGAAACATACAAAAATGCATTTCATCACCGTTCAAAGTTGGAGGATCAAAGAGAGGTAGATCAAGATTATTCTCTTTCTTTCCGAGAGAATTTCTCTTCGCAACATACAAAAATTCATTGCCGAAATTCATCGTCTTTTTTTTCTAAATAACATTACATACTTATTATTATTCTCGATACGAAACAAAGACTCGTGTGTTCGAAGGAATCAATATTCCTCCATATACAAAAATATTCAAGCATTTCAAATCAATGTCAGCGAAAAGAACGTATCGCGTATTATTAATCCCGTATTTCTGCCGTTTCTGATTCTCCCGCGTTCAATAAATCGCGTGAAATCCTGATGGTATCGCGTAAGCGCGTCTCAATTCTCGGCGAGATCCTACAAACGGAGAAGGGTACGCCGACTATTGCAGCGACGCCTTTCTAAGCAATGCCTTTATCTGCATGAATGAGCGCTTAAGGACTCGTTACGTTTATCCGGCACGCGTGACCAGCGTGCAGATCCCCTCACGTGCACATAACGCTAACATTTCTATCTGCACGCACACACGCTCGCCGTTTTTCCTCTGCTATGCAGATGCACCGTTTCTGCATCGCATCGTTCGTTTGCGCCAGTTTCTTCCCCCCCCCCCCGCGATTTCGATGGAGATCGATTCGATTGCCCATTTTGTTAATGGCCCTTTTCTTCGAGCTGAACTTCAAAGTGGCGCGAAGCAGTCACGTAATCTAACACAATTCACGAACACTCGACTTTCGTAGAACTCTAAATCCCTAATTTACACGTATATATCGCAAGATGAGTTTCAAAATGTGATTCTTTTCTAATTGAATCGAGATAGTTAGAGATCATATTTATTCGATACGACTGGCTCCAATATGATAAAGAAGAAAGAAAATGTACAAAGATATAAAGATATTTAAAATAAAGGAAAAGGAAACTTCGACAAAGAGCAGGTATAATAATGTTAATCAGTATCAAATGTTGAAAAATACTCCTGCAAATTTTGCGCATTCTAATCATGAAGTAATTCATCAATTACTTAGTTCTTGGATGAATTACGTACGCGTATTAAGGATTATTTTTTTTAACTATTATTTTTCGCAATTTTCGCTTATCAATTATATAATCTAACTTCTGAACGAGTCACACACACATACTTAAACAACATATATATATATACACAAAGAGTCGCATTTTATTTGAAATAATCCTGAGCTTTAAAAAAAATTCCCCGAAATGTTTCATTGCACGTATATTATATCGAGGAAAATAATTTATTTCAAGTTGTTCTGAAAAAAAATGTATAACTGAAACATATACAGTGAGCATGCTTGTAAAATCAGATAATTAACACTCACAACAATTATTTAAATTGACGCGCAATGTAACACTGAGGTGAGAAATGATCCCTGTGAATATTTCTATTTTTCATTTCTAAATGGTACAGCGTTGCTCGCGCATGTTGGAAATGTGTCGCGTTGGAAACGCCACAATAAACGGGGGCGTTTATCACTTCGTTGAGGTGATTACTTTCCAGGAGTTGTGCTGGCGGGCTCCTTTCTGGAAGACGGTTCTCCGATGCTTTTGCAAAGGAGCGACCGAAAGCCTGTCCCGCGTTTGCAACGCGGCGAACCATTGAAGAACGACGAGAATACATAACTGTTTGCGGTCGATGAGCGCAATGGAATTCTAAAAATAAGAATCAGAGTAAATTGTAATTGCAGTGTCTTAAAATTAGATTCTAAAATTGCGGGCCAGCCATTAGAGACCGAAACTCCAAGGCGACGACTCGAAGATAATTTGGTAATAAACATGGTACCATGACCCTAAAAGATGAAGGTAGCCTTACCAAAAACTTGTCGTCGCTCGCGAAAATATTCGAAACAATTACCATAGAAAAACTTTGAAATTTTATTAATACTGCAACGAGAAATGATTGTTATGATTACGATTGGTAATATAATGTACACAGAGGTTGCAAGATATTTATTGCAAATTAGATGTGAATAACTATCTTAGATATATACAGGCTGATTTTTTTTTTAAATGTATTTGGGTGATGAACTTGTACAGTAAAATAAGTATAAAATACCTTAGTTTTCGAGTTACAGATAATTGAAAATGTGTCTATTTTGTTTACAATTTTGTAAACAATGTTTACAAAAAATATCCATTGATAAGCGAATTTCAGTCCATTAAACATTTATTTTTGATACATTGTAAAATTATACTGTATATTCGATTGAGATGAATAATAATGTGCACGATCTACAAGGAAAGATTCAAAAAATAGTTGACAACACACGTGATATTTTCGTAAGAAGTTCCTGTGAATGTTTGAATACTATTCGTGAATAGCTATATCTAATTTGCAACGTTTCAAAAAGATCGAAACAAAATGTAATTATTATTGATAATTAGTATACGCAAGCTAAGATCCAATAACACAATACATCTTGCATTATATCAATTGATATTAGATATATCTAATACAGAAAAATGTGGAGCAAAGAATAAGGTTACAAATATTGTAGTCTCTGATCATTCAAGTAGAGCCACTCACAATTTTCTATGTCCAATTCTTTCCTTGATTTGTACATTTCTCCTGCATTTTTGTTGCATTTATTTATCAACCTATGAAATTATTTTTCATAAATAATCATAATCTGTAACTCTACTTATTCGGTATATAGTGAACTAAAGAAAACACATTATACAAATATCTCGAAATATATTCCTCTGTTTCTATATTGTCTTACACGTAAAACATTGAAAATCCAGGAACTATAGTTACTCAATCCGGTTGAATATATTCTTAATTACGTTACGCGATCCGGGAAAGAAAAGATAATAACACAAGTAACATCGTGTTTTTATTTAATTAATTTCAATCGTATTAAATTTTGAATGGCCAAGGACAGAATTTCTATGGATTTGTCGTTTGCCCGAGGAATCAGGTCATTAATTGTATCGTAAATTGATTACGATCAATTACTAAAATTGGGTTAGCGGCTGACTGCCCAGTGGAACGTGGTCATCGTTGACGTCAAATTCGTGCACATGAGCTCAGGTTTGCTCAGGTGCCGGCTATATTTCAATCCGCAGATCATGGACAGAGATCCCTCTGTTACAGAGTCCTTTCGCTACATAGGTCACCTGTAAATCTGTCTTTTGTAAGATACTCGCGATATTGTGTTTGCCGAGCAATAAAATGAGAATCAAGCTTAAACTCTTGTCTTACGATAACGATTTGCACTCGTGACATGGATTAAAGATCAAATACTGCGACGATTATACTTTTATTACTTTTATTTATCCAGCTTTATTATAGTTGGAGTTGTGTTTTGTAACTGTAGCTTGTTTACAACAAAATATTTTAGATGAAATAAAAACTTTAATACTTCAGTCTAGTATGTAATTATTGAATGTTACACGTGGCTCTTTATCACAGAAATGATTTTTTATTACTCGGTGCACTTTTTCAATAATTATATAATTGCTTTAGTATTTCAAATTTGCAAGAGTTGGTTCAAAAAGTGTTCGAATAATTTTAAAATGATTCACGAATTAAATGAACCGAATGAAGTAAAAATAAGACAGATGAAATGAAAACTATTTTTAATCTTGTCCAAATTTATATTTGTAAAAATCACTGTTTTTAAATTTAAATTCATATAAAGGAGTCGTATAAGTATTCTAATAATTATATATCGCATTAATTATAGTTTTATATTTTTATTATGGATTTTCTCATCACTGAATATACATGATCTATGATCAATTTCTTCTTCCTCGATATAGTTATAATTAACGATAGAATAAAATTTAATAATCATATATTAATGTAATAATTAGTAATTGTAATTCTGTTCTGCAAAATTATAGAAACAGTATATCATAAAAAGTGTATTGATTTTTATGAATTTATGGGAAGTTTGGAAAATTATTATAAATTATAAAGAAATCTCTAATTAATGATATCATAATGTAAGTAATCATAAGGCAAGGAGTTGGAAAAAAGGAACTCAAGCTTTTATTTATTTTTCAAAGAATCGCAATCTCAGAGAATCTTGAACTCACAAAATTTTTTCCAGTAACACTGAACAATAAGCCTCGCAAGAAATAATTGATCATATGCTGTTTGCAAATTTCTTATAGTACAATATGTGTAATTCAGAACGATGGGAAATTATAGCAATATATTACAGAAAACGCGTTTTGAATATTTTTGTATTATTACGCGTTACGCGTAGCTTTACACTTCAAAATTCCATAC